TATAGTAATCAAGTAGTTGATTTATATTTCTCTGGGCAAGTGCAAATTGGAGCAGTTCATTCTTCGGATGTTCTATTTTTTTCCTGGAATGGATTATTCCAAGGCTTTGAGGATATTTCATAAGTTTCCAGTATATTTATAGTTCTTTACATTTTTACTTTTTTTTCTTCAGCTGCCTTGTCTCAATTTAAACTTTTTAAATAATTTCTTTGTGTCAAAGTCATTTGGGTTTGAATTTTCTTTCCTAGAACTCAATGGTTTACTTGTTAACTTTGGGCATTGTAAAAGGTTATTTCTTTGCTCTACTCTTTAGTTGTATCACATGTCTTCACTTTCACCATTTGTTGAGCCAATTTAGTGAGAGTAAAAAAAAAAGTCCTTACAAAAAAAATAATTAAAGAAAATCCCACATCCCATTTCATATTTAATTTATCAACTGATTCATGCAATTGCTCCAAACTATCCAACAATGGGTAGGAGGTTGTCTGCTGTGAAGCCATCATTCTAAATTTGTCCAAACTGTAGATGTTACCATTTCTTGGGGTGAATCTATAGCTGAGGTCCACGGTCTTGATTGTCAGCAACTGCAAGCTCTTCAGCAAGATTCATACCAGTTTCATTGATTTTTTGCTGATGTAAGGGACAAGGACCTAAGGATCAGTCATGCAATGTTACTATGACCTCCTTATCCTTGGTCAAACTTTGACTATTTGCAGTCTCTTGAGAAATAAAATAATCAGTAATTTTTAATTGTCTCGGCTGTGAGTTACTTAACTCAACTTCCTGTGTTAGAGGTTGCAAACCAAGTTGTACATAGTCTCTATGAATGAGAACCATTATAGGTAGTAAATTATAACTCTATCTCTGTTTGTTGTAGCATATACATGCAAAGCAACCATTATTAGTTCCCAGAGGCTTTGTAGGCTTTAATCAGTGTTTTTGATAGTTCCTTAATATTTGTTGCAGTAGCGACATTATCTTCTAAGGTTGGGGTTAGAATGACCTTGGCTTTCTTCTTACTAAAATAGCCTTTAATCACACTGTTCTGACATAGAATTAGCCAGAAATATAGAAGAGAGTATTTTTCAAAGAAGCTATTGGGAGGCTTCGCTTCTCTCATTGCCATCTTAACTGGAAGTCAAATTTCCAGTAAAAGCTGATGAATTACATTCAGAATGCTCGGGCCAGCCCATTCTAGGGGAAGAAAGAATATTCCAGGATAAACTGCTCTGTTTTGCATATTTATGCATGCAGGTTATCCCATTACTGGTGAAATTCAGCAGGTAAGTGGTTCTGTCTCCTGACCCACCATTGTAGATTTGGCTCCGGGGCAACCTGGAAACACCTGAAAGGTGTTCTGCTTAAACCCAAAGCTGATGCTGCAAGACTGAGATCTCATCCTATGGGAGCACTACAGAAAAACAAAGATGAACCTGAAAAGACATGTTGGCCTTCAACACCCAGAATCCTTCAATATACTGTCTGGGGATTCTGGGAGTTGAAGGTAGACATATCTGGAACGGATCAGATTGGAGAAGTCTGTGATATTGTCAGAGGTGACTAGCACAGGCTTTGGGGAAGAAGGATGCTCCTTTGAAAAGTTATTGCTACAGACAGACCCTACCTTGCCTGATTGATGATGTAAATCTATAGAGAGAGATTGTTTGAGGGGAGTCTGTCAGATTGACAGTGCAAATGTCTAATACACACAGCCTGTGAGAGAGGAGTCTGCCGACGGGTGGGAGAACGCTGGCTGAGTGTTGGTCACACGGAGATTGAATTACAGTTGAATTAGATCAGAGCTGTGGGAAACATCACCTCCTAAACACACACAGTCTCCGGGGAGGGAGGGAGGGAGGGAGGGAGGAGGGGGAGACAGAGGCGGGCAGCTGGGGTGAAGGACTGAGAGCAACTCGCAGAAGCCAGGAGCTAACTTAATTACTGCAGACCTTGTTGCATCATACTTGCCTGTCTTTGGAGATTTTGCTCTCTGCAACTGAAAGGCTCTGTGGTGGCAGGCTGAAGACAGGGCAGGGCACACTTCATACAAAACCTTTGTTTTCAGGCAGAGGGAGAGGTGAGAGGGAGAGAGAGTGTGTCTTAGCAGGAGTGAAAACATCATTAGGAACAGCATGGAAAAGATCTGCTCAGGCTTTTCAGCCATGCAGCTGTAAAGGTCAGACTCCAAAGGGGATTTCGTGGCTACTGCTACCTTTGAAGATCAGATATTTTAGAGGGCCTTGCTCAGATTTCTGCAGAAAAAACCTTCATGCCCACACAGCTCCCCTCCTCGCCTGACTGGATCCATCCCCCTTTTCTCTCTTTTGGCCTCCATGTTCTGTGATGACACACTGCAAACTGGGCCAATGCACAGCATCTCAGGGCGGGGATCACAGCGTGCAGAAAGACGTGAGGGGGAGGCCGGAGGAGAGGACAGAAGAAAGCTGGAACTTTTTAAGCTCGATTAGGGGAGGGCAAAAAGTCACTTGGCGCTGAAATGAGTTCACCCAGCAGGGATGAGAGCGGGACTTCCAGGAGACAGCAGGACAGCATTTGTTTCCTTGTCTGGCACAGAAACGCTGGCTTAGGATGAAGTATAAAATGCATGGCATTCTCTAGTGCAATCGCACCTCAGGCGCCTTAAAAAACGATCCCTTTCTCTTCTAGCGTCATTCTGCAAGAGCTTGGCAGGGGGGTGGGGAGGAAACAGTCTCCCTCCTGTTCATTTTCCCGTCCTCTTAATCTCCTGGGTTTGCACATGTCTTTGTGGGCAGGGATGAGAACCTGACCTCTAAACCCTTGTTAATAGAATATTGGGTTTGTTTTTATTATGCAACCCACTTTCAGGACAATCCTTCTTTATTTGACTTCCAATTGCCTTGGCTTGGCAAACCTCTCTCTCTCTTTTCCCCACCCCACCTTTTCCCCCTCTGTTTAAAAATAAGCCACTGCTATCGAATGTGATCTTGAGTTAAAGTCAGCTGCGCCATTTTAAGAAATTTAAACATTGCTCAAGTTTTGAGCTCAGAACAATCAGAAACAGGACCAAGCTTTATGTGGCTCTCCCCCTTTTTTATGGGGATGCTTTCACTCTTGATGAATAATGGTGGTTGCTCCATGGTGAAAGAAACTCCACATTTACACATTCACACTGTTGTCTTTATTCCTTTACATTTCCCAAGGTTGTTCTTGGATTCAGTTGGTCCTGGAACGTTCTGGCTCAAATTGTCCCAAATTACAAATATTACCAGGATGATTCACAGCAGATTTCTGTAGTTTCGCTCTGTCACATTCACCAAATGTAGTTTGAGAAGTGTTAACTATAGATTGCAATGGCAGCCATTTCTGCTTTTTCTGTGAAGAATGGGAGCCAGCAAAAGAAATATCTGATAGAGTTCAACCTGGGGTGGCAATAGGTTACCTGCAGGTTGCATGGTATCATCTCCCCTACGGCTCTGGCATAGTCCCAGGACCTTGTAGGATTGCTGCTAACTTCAGTAGTAAATTCCGCCAACACATTTCAGTGATAACCACTCATAGATGTAATGGTATGTGGGAGTGACCTTGGGAGACAGGGCAAAGAGATGGAGCCAAGGGAACAGTCAGATGAAAGGCAGCTTAGCCTGCAGCAGGAATGTGGATGGGGCAAGAGGCTCAGAAGAGATTCTCCCTAGTTTCATGGGCTGAAAAGGGGACGTTGGGGGCAGGGGGAGAGAAATATACTTTCAGACTTGCAAGATTCTGTTAATGTAACCTTACAATAAAGTAGAATTAGTTTCAGACTTGCAAGATTCTGTTAATGTAACCTTACAATAAAGTAGAATTAGTTTCAGACTTGCAAGATTCTGTTAATGTAACCTTACAATAAAGTAGAATTAGTTTCAGACTTGCAAGATTCTGTTAATGTAACCTTACAATAAAGTAGAATTAGTTCATCTGGCCATGTTTCTTGTCTGGTCTACCTTGCAAGGCTGACAATTAGCTAGGTATAAGATTTAAACTAGTAACTTGAATAGATTTAGAGTTTGAAAAAAGAACTTGATCAATGAAATATAACCAGGATAGTAATTGTATATGTTTAAGATGTAAGATTCATAGATGAATTTTAGATAAACATTTTGGAATTGATCAATTTGTTTTAAATTGCATCTGTTTCATTTTTCAGGTAGCCTACCATGATAAAAACGGGCTGTTTGTTGGTTTTTAATACAAATAATGGTTTGGAACTGTTTATCTTCAATTTTAAGAAAAAATATGGGAGACAACTGGCTAGCTGCTGCTGAAGGCAGGAGATTTATTTATTCTTGTATGTAAATTATAACATTTTTTCTCCTTACATTAACTGTTCCTCTCTGAACCAACACAAAAGTTATTCTTGTGCCATCTATTTTCCTTTGCCTTTCATTTGAGAAAGAAATTCTTGAGGCTGCCTTTATGGAACCAGATCACCTAGCCTGTATTCCCCAGATTGGCGGAAGCTGTAGAATGGATTTGTCCAGCTGGAGGAGCCCAGATTTTTCATTTAGGACATTGGGAGAGATAGGGATGGTATCTAAACCATTAGGAGAGGCCCAGGTTGGGAAAAATTGCTATAGACCTGCTAGCAACAATTCTGTACGCATACATATCAGTATCTACAGTATCACCAACTGATTTGGATGCAAGTATGTAAGTCATAGGATTTACGTTTTGACGTCACAATGCAATTTTCATCACTTGGACCCCTATGAATGCCTATGGTCATCGATGCTAATAATCAAACTTAAAGGTTTAGATTAACAAGCTTATGTTCTACCACTGAGCTATATCACTTTTTTGTTGTATAGATAGATTTACTCTTCCATCGTGAAATTTTTTTTTTTTTTTTACTTGAAGGGTAATGACGACAAATGTAGTGTTGTGGTTAAAGTTTTTGATCAGATTATTGGAAACCCAGGTTCAAATCCTGCTCAGTTAAATTGCTCTGTACCTTTATGGGACTGTTGTGAGACATAAAAAAATGGAAAGAATTGGAGTACTGTGTATATATTTTGAGTTCCAAGAGAAAAATGGGATGTGAATAAAACAAATAACTCTTTTCACAGATAAGTGTTCACCTGAACTCCCACTACAATCTTTCAAAGGTATCTTTTGCGGCCCAATGGAACAGAATTGACTTTGGAGAAATGTATGACTAATGTTATTCCCACATTGATTTAAGTGGGAGGACACTTTAATCTATATAGAACTTGTGGGTCAGAGGGATAGGTGGCCCAGAGCTCAACTGATTTAGAGCAGAGCAATGTGTAAATCAAGTATGGTATTCAAGTCTTTGATGTAAGCAACAACTGAAGAGCTTGAAATCAGCATGTGTGAGAGAGAGATTAACTTCTCCATATTATAATGTTGCAAAGTCAGTCACTTGTTTCCTCAGTGGCAGAAAAAGATAGTCCTGAAATGGAGGCATGTTTTGCCCTTAGTCAGTAACCCACTGGAGTTTTTGTGCACTTGTCCATCAAAGCTGGCAGGCTTATGACACTGGGAAATCATGAGTGTCCTTCAGCTGCTTGGCTGGCTTCAGATCATGAATCTTCTGTAGAGAACCCAGACCGGGTGTCAAAAGGAGGGAGATGGAAAGCATTTCTTTAGCAACCCCCTGGAATAACCTTCTTCTGAAGAACTAGAGGAAGTAAAGAAAGCAAGCGTTATGTGGGTGTATGTTAGGATGGAAAAAATGGGTCTGCTTTACCAATAGAGCTAGGATTTGGGGAAAGTTTTATCCATTCTGCCTGCTCCAATCATTTTTCCATTGGTTGTGCAATGGAATTTCATATAATCTTATGAGTTAGGAAGGGAAGGGAAGGGAATGACCTGAAAGCTTGCAAGTATACCATATTTCTCTGAAATATTTATTCTCATTTAAATGCTGTGTAATGTGGTTTGGCAACTGTATTAAGGATCTGTGGTCTTCTTTGCAAGTTTCATGGAGAAAAGTGAATGTTTATTGAACCAGATGTGCTATGAAAGTCTATGCATGTTTACTCAGAAGTTAAATTTTGCTGTGGTGATTAGGGCTAACTTAAGGGTGCTTAACATCACAACCCAAATCTCTTATGTACATACATTTTGTGTTCTTTTATGGACTGAGTCACATAATTGCTGTGTTGCTGAAGTTTCTTCTTGATGCTACCTGACTTGTTTGCCACGAGAAACTATCAGTTTTGCATTATACATAAATTTACCTTGGCGTGCATTGACAAACCCTGGAGAATGAACAGCTTTTGCTTTATGCAGGAGTAATATAACTTTGTCATCCTATCAATACCATCGTACTCACAAAAGACATTACTGTCAGAAAGACCTTAGGAACGGCTCCATCTGTAAAAGACACAAAATGAAGTTGAAGATAATTTCATTTGGTTATGGCTGGTCTTGCATAGCTGGAAATACCAAAGGGGTACCTCCAAAATCCTCACAGGTACCTTCTGCGCAGCAATGCAATTTCCCCCTTTCTAGGGGAAATTTTTAGTTTCCTAGACAAAAAGCCAAATCATACTTTTAATGGAAGAGATATGGATTGCAAAGGTAGCATCATGAGACAGAGTAAATTTAAGATAGAACTGCTAGTATGGCTTTTGTATGTAAAATTGGAGTCCATCCATCATCATCATCTTGTTACTTTGCCTCAGTAAGCATAATCGGTTAGGCAATCCCTGGTAGACTGTGCACTTCAAACTAATATTTAATCCGACTATAACTGGTTGTAAGAACAGCATCACTTTATATAGCATTGATCACATAGCTGACAATGATTCTTTTCATATATAAAAATGTTTTATTGAAGTAGTAGATGTTGTGCAAGTTGTATCTCAGGCTCAACTGGAGTGTTACTGGTCAAGATGTTATGGTGTAAAAGCAATTCATAGAATCGATGGCTGAAACCCAAGCACTGGCTGACAACCAGGCAGAAGGAAGAGGCTTTGTGCCCATACAGCACCAGAAAAGATCTGAGCCCATCACACATCTATTCTTCTCACCGGATTCTATGTCAATGTAGCTTTTATTTATTTATTTTTTTAATCCTTCCTTGACTGGACAGTACTTATTTATCTGATCATTTTAAATACTGAACTACACTTTAGACATGACCACCTCTGTGGGTGAAGCCTGGGGCAATTGCCCTATTATCCCCTCCCCACTTTTAAAGAAAGGCCCTGTTCGTGCTGTATGCACATTTTACTGGAACTAATTTTCAAAGCGATATGATTGCAGTGGGGAAGGGAAGGAAGGACTTTTCAGCAGAGCAATGAATTAATCATCTTGCTCTAGCAGGTTGCTAAAGAACAAGCAGTGACAGCTGCAAGAAGATATTCAAAAGTTTGGAATGCTAAAAGCTGACCCAGCTGGGGCAGATTAGCAAAATGTGGGGAGGTGAGGCAGTCAAAGGTGCACCATAAATTATTTTTATTACATGCAGGGTAGCATGGCAACTTATTGTACTCTCCTTTTGTGGCAGATACAGGCAGCTAGGAGACTAAGAACTCTTCATCCTTACGTGTTTGATCGAAGGATACTATCCTGTTTTTCTTCCTTCCTCCTCTGCTCACCCAGAGCAGATTCTTCTACCTTGAATTCTTGTCTGACAAACTGGGAATTTTTCTCCTGAGACACCTGCATGCTGAAAAAAGCTTTGTCTGTTCTGTTTTGGCTTGCCAGGCAGCTGTTCAAGGCAGAGCAGCGTTAAAAATGGGCCATTTTAATTTGACCTAATGAAATACAGTACAGGGAGTCAAGTTGCATAAGAAGTGTAACTTGTTTTTTTCAGCCTAATAAAATGCTGGGCTACTGCTTATCAGCCCAACAAGAAAGGGGCAAATAGAGGAATGAGGCTGTGTTTATTTAGTAGTTAACAGATATTCCAGCCTAATTATGCATTAACGTTTATAGCAAGCTTTAAATGACCAAGAATGACAAACGGCTGACTTGATCTGGACTGGTTTCACACTTAGTGAAAATAATGGAAATCAGTACACTTAATTGCTGCTGGCTTATGGTATGGATTGATTGATCAATTATAAAATATGCAATACTTGCACTAATCCCAGTCTGTTGCCAGTAATAATGTGTTGCATTTCCCAAAAAGGGATCAACAGAGATAGCTGTTGAAAGAAAGAATTCACTGCACTGGCCATTACAAATAAACCTTAAGCTTTTCTTTCTAAAACTACACAGGATAGGAGCAGACAAAACCAAAAACAAAGCAAATCCTTGGATTACAAAAGGGCAGAAACCAATGCATGAGGAAATCCCCTAGGACTACAGCAGAGAACACTTTCCCTTGTGAATACAGGAAATACCTGGTTCCCCCCACCCTTTTTTAAAAAAAATGCCTTTTTTTCTTAAGAAGGCTATCACCAGTGATGCAGTCAGGCTGCTAAGCAGAGCAAGAGTACTGTAGGAAATTTTTGCTAAGATTTCAGTTTCCTACCATTTTAGATTTACTCTACACAAATGGTTGGGTAAGCCTAAAACACAATTAATCTTTTTTTTTTTTTTAAAGAACTCTTGCTACCATACTCGGAAAAAAAGGATATCTCAGTTCACTCATGTGCACAATGTAATCCCACCCTGTTATGCAGAAATAAACAATAAGCATGGTCCCTGGATACTGGTAGGTTATTTACTCCTGAGGTAGAGTATGGAACTTACCTGATTAATGTAGATGCTTCCCCTATATAAGGGATTCTTGCTAACCTTTTTTTAATCTTAAAGGGGCTACATGAATTCCAGGGGCATTCACAGAAAGGGTAGTCAAAAAGTCAGCATGGCAGCCACAACAGTGTGATTGATGCTCTACACCAGTGTTTCTCAACCTTGCCCACTTGAAGAGGGGTGGACCTCCACCCCTCTTCAAGTGGCCAAGGTTGAGAAACACTGCTCTACACCTTTTTTATGCGCCAGCGGGGTTTTGATCACATGGTTGCTGCTGCTGCTGCTACTGTAACTCTTTTGACCTCCACCCTGCAAATATCCTTGATGAATTTGTAAGCGATTCAAGTTGGGAGACCACAAAAATATTTAATAAATAATGCATTCTTGGCTCTGACATAAACCTTGGCTCTTCCTTTCAGAGTTTTACAACTACGAATATGGAATTGTACATTTGTTGTAGACATGGGTATCACAAATATATAATCTGTGGGGAGCAACTGGGGGAATTTGCTCTGTGCTCCACTGAAGCAAGGATGTGACTCTGGCCCTACCATGTTGCTCACTGGTGTCCATACAAGCATCACCGTTTGCAGAGGGGTGTGGCACCGCACAATGACACACCTGCTCTGGACCCCCCCCCCCCAAATCCTCCAGGTAGCCTTGCTGTAAGCCCAAAAAACACAAAACAAACAAAAAACCCTCAACCAAACAGCACAGTGACAAATGTTTTCAAAATAAGAAGCCAGAAAACCTGCATTGCTATAATCATATTTAAAATTGCCAACTGGGTTTCACAGCTAAATAATTTTGTGTTACAGATGATCTCACTTACCTGAAATTAAAAATATATTCATAAATACAACTGTGTCAGATTCACATTAGCTTGTAGGGCAAGAGTAGTTTCTGCTGATGACATAGAAGCAATTAAACAAGTTGCTACTAGTTTTAGCCTGTTCAGTTCCTAGCAGATCAATGCATATATGTGTATTAGGCCATTAACATTTGTAATTACTTCTGAAACAGCCAAATAAACATTTCAAATATATAAAAAGCTTGATAATAGTATAACAGAGAGAGATTTTTAGAAAAGGAAATAGATCAGAATCAAGAAGAGCTATTCTTCCATTTTCTCATTTGTGGTTTAAAAACTGTTAGATTTCCAGTATCAAAGATTCCTTTGGTTTTCAAGATACGGTAGGTGATCTAGTTTTAACATGCATGCCCTGACTTGGCTCCATTCCTTTGAATTAACAGGATATAAGGTTTACATTCAGGAATCAGTATAACGTCATGTCAGCTTAAATCCTATTTTTGTTATAGAGGTACCTTTACCATAATTTGTTTGACGTGTGATTTCCACCCTAGCCTTGCGTATTTGCTCTTACAGTCTATACCAGTGTTTCTCAACTTTAGCAACTTCAAGACACGTGGACTTCAACTTCCAGAATGCCCCAGCCAGAATTCTGGGAGTCAAAGTCCACATAGCTTCAAGTTGCCAAGGTTGAGAAACTAAATTCTGCCTCTGCTTATGAATCAAATTCTACTTTTCTTTTTAAGTACAAAAATAAGTTCCTCTGAAAAATGCCAATAACTATAGCCATCAAGGACTTTCATTGGGGGGGGGGGCTCCCAATAGTATGGCAGCTGTGAAACCTTGTCTCTTTTTTATGTGTGTTGTGTGTGTGACACACCTACAAAGGGGACATCATGCAGCCACAGATGTTATCTTGATTGTAGATGCCCTAATAGCCATGGACAGTTGGACAAACTTTACCGTAGCTATCATCCTGGCTTGCATTCCACCTCGTTCACTATCAGATTTTAATCTTTTAAAAATGTTTTAGTCTGCTTTAGGATATGCCTACCTGTTTAGCAATAAAGGACCAACATTTCTTTTTAAAGTTTTTCCCTTCCACTTTTGGATATACTTGCTTTTTTAGACCTAGAAGCCCTTTTTAGCTTGTCTGAAGCCAAAAAATTCAGGATGATAAGACACATGAAGAGAAGATCAAACAATGAAAGGGGTAAAAAATGATACACTGAAAATACTTTCATCAATACATTTCATATATTTTCTGCATGCAAACAGCAATAAAAATTACATTTCATGGCAAAGCTGTCTCCCAGGCAAATAAGCACAATTACAAGGGAGTAAATTCTATTGAACACAGTAGGAAATAAGTTTTATTAAACAGTTCTCCAATACACATGCAAAGGAATGCAATGAAAAGTACAGTTTACAGATTGTGCTAAGCCATGCTTTATTTTTAAATGGTTAATTGAATAAACCTTAATTGGCTAGCTTCACAGAAGACATTAAGCTATAAATCTGTTTGCTCTTTCATAATAGCTGGGTTTGTACAATTTGCTAAAGCAAAACCTGAATATTTAAGCTCACTGGATATTGACAATGTCCCACCAAGAAGTAAAGGAAGGATTGTACTTAGAGAATACAGATAGTCCTTTTTTAGTGACTGCAATTGGTTCTAGCGAAATGGTCACTAAGTGAGATGGCTGCTAAGCGAACCTCACGACTGTGTGTGAGAGAGAACCACACTGCGAAGATCACTGGTTGCTGCCATCTCATTCAGATAAAGTTATCTCATACAGTGTCCTGTGCCTGTCCTGTTTTGTTCTGTTCCCTTTTTTTGCCTCCTTGAAGGGCAGAGATTGCTTAAACAAGCTATCTCTTCCTGAGCTGCTTTTCTCAGCAGTGCAACCAGTCCTAAAAAGTGCTAACCCCAAGTTAATCTCAGCTCTATGACCTTAATTAGTTGATTAGAATTCTCCAGTGGGCTACAGCTGCTGCCTGAAACTGACCAGACCTTAATCAGTTTCACATGGAAAGCTTTTCTTGTAAATGTGTGCATTGGTTGGAAAATGAATTTTTTTATTACCATTTATTACCATTGTAGTTGCGAATGGTCTTTATCCGAGGCAGCTGCTAAACGAGGACTACCTGTATCATGTATTCCCAATTTGCGGACAACAACTGGCTGACATCACTTACGGGTGGGCAATTTGTGGCCCTTCCAATGTTGGATTATAATTCTCATAATTCTTGAACATTGGTCATGCTGTCTGGGATTGGTAAGAGTTGGAAATCCAACATCATCTGGATGCTCATGTTTTCCCAGATCTGTATAAAGATTTGAGGTAATAAGACTTGAAAAAATGTCTGCTGAACTGAATATAGAGTAGAATTGGAAGGATAATTGGTATGATTCATTGGTCTGATAAATCTGAACTTGATTTTTCCAGATTGGTATCCTCCTGTAGGTTTGCTGTACTGTTAGTCAGCATGACTGGGAATTCTAGAAATTGTGATCCCAGCACTTCTGGAAGACAATGAATTGGGGAAAGCTGAGCCACACAGACAGAAAAGCTAACGTGCTGGGAGTTCTCCCTGTGAAGATGAAGAAGATGCCACTCTGGGTTCCCACCATATACCTTACTGTTTTTCTTTTCCCTTTAAAAAACATATTAAACAGGAATCTCATACTGCAAAGAAAGTCCCAGTCTTAGCATGATTTTTATTTCCAAGATTGTCCTTTAGTCTCACATGGATCCTGTGGGTCTCCTAGAAAATCAAAATGGCAAGTGAAGGCGGTGGCATGCATAAATATTGTGCCATTCTGCCCTCCCCACAAGATAAAATCAAACCAGAGAACAGAAGCTAGGGCTACCCCAGCAAGGTTGTGAACCTCCAGGCATTATTAGGTGGTAATTAACAAGAAATGAGCTCTGCATCTCTTTGTTACCACCTAGTGATCAGCTGGAGTTTTGCAGCCCAAATACAGTACAGGTAGTCCTCGCTTACCAACTGCCTCATGCAGTGACCGTTCAAAGTTATAACAATGCTAAATAAATTACTTTGTGACCAATCCTCGCATTTACCACCATCGCATCCCGCAGTCACGAGACTGCCATTTGCGTGCTTTGCAACCAGCTTGCCACAAGCAGAGTTAATAGAGAAGGCGAAAGTAAAATCATAAGTTGCAGTCATGTCTCACTTAGCAACTGAATTGCTGATCACAATTGTGGTTGCTAAGTGAAGACTACCTATAGTTCCATAGGAAGCATGGAGGTGGTAAAGGGAACAGCAAGAAGCTGGGTTACTAGTCTGCTTTCTGATAAATGAGCATTTTGTGATTGGTCACACCTGACATACCAGCCATTTTATAAACAGCCAATTCCCTTCCCCATGGCAGCCATTTTGCAAAAGTGCCCATGATATACTTTCAAAACTCCAAATGAGCAACCCCATCCCAAAAGTTTGGAGACCCCCAACATACATAGCATTAATTATAGGTCACATAAGTGAATATTCCCCTATGAGTATGTACATATCATAGTCCCTGCATATCCAAAACTCGTATTCTATCTAGCAAGAACATTCCAGACTTGCTAATGTCTCTTTTGCCTTTCTTCCTGTGGTCAGCACTAGTTTTAGCTTCAGCAGGACACCCAGTTCTTTTATTTTTAAAAAAGTCAGAATATGAAACGTTTTCCTAAGCATTCTAGCACAAGGAAGTCTGAAAATTTGTCTGCACCTTTAATCATGTTAACAACAAAGACTATTTTTCTCTTCTGGACCTCAGTCTTTGCTTGCCTGTGCTGGGGAAACATGCTTTTTTCTCTCCGTGGAGCAGGGAAGGGAAACTAGGGGTTGGATCAGCTTTTTTACAGTCCTCTAGGAAGTGATCTCTCAGCTGTTGCTGTATCCACACATCTCCCCAGAAAGGCAGTGGCTCCAGCTAATTAGCACACGTGATGGGAATAGGAAACAAAAGCCCAAACAATGGTAGCGTGGGAACACAGCATGAACAACAATTACACCACTCCTAAAATAAATAAATAAATCCAACAATAGGCTATAACCTGCAAGTCAATAATTTGGGAATAATATTGCAAGCTTTGATTGGATTGTTGCTCCAGCCTTACTGCCTTATACAACAGAGTCAGTAAGGCAAAGTGGAGTTGCTCTTTGTCCAGTAATGGGTCTGTCATCTCTATTTTTAACTCTGGGTGGGGTAGCTGTACCCCTGAAGGAGCAGGTCCTTGACTTTGGAGGGTCCTCCTGGACTCAGCTACTGCTAGATGGGCAGGTGGAGGTCATGGCCAGGTAAGGCATTGCCTAGCTTCAGCTGGTGCACTAGTTGGAAGGTGACTTGGAATGAAAGGCCCTGCCAATGGTGACTTATGCCTTCCCCACTGTGTGTCTAGGTTACCGCACTGCATTTTATATGGTGATGCCTTTGAAGACCACTCAGAAACTGCATTAATCCGAAGTGCAGCGAGTCTGCTATTGACCAGGGAGAACAATGGTACACAAGGGCCACTTGTAATTAAGTAAATGCAAGAACATTCCTCTACTCACAACTTCACCAAAATTCTCCTCTTAACAGAAATTTTGAAAGCAAATTCATATTGAACAAAACTTATAGAAAAAGATGGAGATTTTTTTTCCCTGCATGGCCCTGCTTTATTTTGGTTTATTACAAGCTGTAATATTTTTCTCTGGTTTTTTTTTTGAAAAAGATATTTCTGGTTTTTTACATGTTGTTTCTAGCTTCACCTAGGCAATGAAGAGTTGCCTACCTCCTATTGTCTGCAGCAGAAATGTGGGTACCAGTCAGTGATGTGGGGAACATCAGCAGCCCAAGGGAGAACAACAGGTTAACAGAAGATCTTCAGTGCTCTTCTGCTGAGGAGAAAAATGTTTGCAAGAGAAATACGTTTTCAAAGTTAATTTTGCATACTTGCAACAGCAAAGGTCAACAGTGGTGGGCTTCCTTTCCAGGATGCCTTAAAACATCCCCCTCTCTTTTCAGTGTTATTTTGACTGAGTCATAAAACAGCCTCCTGGAGGAGGAAATAGAAAAGGACAGGAAATGCATCCAAAAATAAACATTGACCTCCAATGTTGGCTAAGTAAATGACACTTTCAGGGCTGACCCTGCGCTTCCCGGAAAACAGTTCAGCAGCCTTATTAGCTGTGAACCCCAAACAATTGAGCTTCCCCTGAAGGTTTAGGTAGCAGTTTCTATATCTAAGGAGCGTAAGGAGAACTGGAACAACAGGGGGGTGGGAAATGGGCCAATCCCTCAAATCTGCTGCATTCAGACAGTTTTTAGCTTCTGAAACTACTCTTTGGGGATATGAGCACCATATGGGAAAGAAATCTGTCAGGCCTGAACATCTGATCTTGCTTAGGCCCAAAACTCAAGATCAGAAGGACAAGTTTAAAGGACTTTTAAACACTATAGCAGCCATTCCCAACTTGCATCTCCTTGGATATGTTGGGCTATAGCTCCCCCCTCTCTGTTAGCATGGCCATTGGTCAGTCATAAAGACTGGGAATGAGAGAAAATATGGTTTATCAGGCTATTTTGCAGATATTTTCATTTCTGTCTATCATGGTATAGAACACAATTACAGTAGGCAAAAGTAGGCATCAGACTAAGATCTAGCAAAATGGCCTGTAGGTTCCAGGGAACAATTCCCTTCAGCACCATAGCTAATTCAGTTGCAAGTACTTATACCAACATGCCTAGATATTGTCTCCATAAATTCCTTCTGAAGTTCCTACAAGAAGTCTAAAAGAATCTCATAGGTCTTTTAGGTCAATCAGAGCACAAAGCATAGAAAGCAGATGTGTTCTTGGTAAAATCATTCTATGTAATTTCCATTTAACACATATTTTTATGAGCATATGTACATATGGATTTCTACTTTGTCAGCTTTTGGGTGCTAACATACAGCCACTGGTAGCAGAAGATGGACATTACATGACACAGATCTTTAACTGTGTGGCTGTATAGGTGGGTCAATCTTAATTTTCACTTTCTCCACAAGAAAAGCAGCAAGTGCTGGATTTCCAATTTGCTGCTCATGATCAATAGCTCATCTTTAGAAGCTGATCTATATTAGGTGTTCTTAGATCATTATTCAGATCTGTGAGGATTATGATGCACTTCTGATGATTTGGGGCCAGCTCAGATTACAATTAGTTCACTCAGTGTAGCCGATTCTACTCCCCTCTCAGCCTATACCCACACCCCTCATAATTTACAAATAGAGAAGAAGTAGATGGTCTGCATTATGAAAGGACTGTTTCAGCTACATTGATTGCACATTTTATAATATTTTAATACAGAATATTATATATATTATAATATATATATTGTATAATATATATAAAATAATGTAATATAATTTGTAATATTGCACGTTCAGCCACATTTATTACACATTTGGCGAGTGGCATTTGTATGGGCGAACGGACTCCAACGAAGAGCACTGCCTGACGTTACCGCCACAAAACGACGGACGCGCATCTATTAACGGCGCCTCAGGCAACGCGAGCTAGCTAGGGCTACAGCCTGAATTTCGCAAATGCTGCTGAACCTGCAAGGAACTCGTCAGAAATTACCCCTCGCAAACGGCAGGCCCGGAGGCGAGAGGATTCGGAGTTGCCAAACGCTGGCCCGGCCCGCCCCCGGTTCGGCGCAGAGCCGCGGCGCTTTGTGAACCCGGCGGTATTGCGCAGGGCAGCCACAGCCGGCGGCCCGAGTGCCATCGCCGCTCCACC